TCTCTCTCTCTCCCTCTCTCTCTCTCTCTCTCTCTCTCTCTCTTTTCACTGAGTCATCTCCTTGACCCCATAATTTTTTTTCTTTTAGACAGTATAGATAGCCTTAAATTTTGAGCCTCTTGTAAATGGTTATTTTTATGTTTATATATATATATATATATATATATATATATATATATATATTATTCATTTATTTACTTTTTTAGATTTATTATTTATTATATATATACTGTTCTGCCTATATGTATGTCTGCACAACAGAAGAGGACACCGGATCTCATTATAGATGGTCATGAGCCACTGTGTTGTTGCTGGGAATTAAACTCAGGACCTCTGGAAGAGCAGCTAGTGCTCTTAACCTCTGAACCATCTCTCCAGCCCCTGTTAACATATATTTTACTATCACTTAATAAGAATTTTTTTAAAGGATTGAAGAGATGATTCAGCCAGTACATAAGTATCTGAGTGTGATACACAGTACCCACCCTGAAGTTACATACCTGTGATCCTAGTTCTATTATGATAGCTAATGGGTAAAGAGTACCTTTCAAACCTGGCAACTTGAATTTAATTCCCAGAGCCCATGTAAAAGTGGAAGGAGAGAACTGACTCCCCAGAGTACTGTCCTCTGACTTCCACATGCATACCATGGCACATGAGTAGTCCTATACAGACATCATATACACAATAAGAATGAATAAAAGCTTAAGAACCAAATAATTAGCATGAGATGGAATTAAAACAGTCAAAAGCAAAAGAAGTGATATTTTCAAGCTAGTAGTTACTCAGCCTGTAAAGGCACTTGCTGCTCACATCTAATGACCTGAATCCAATCCCCAGAACTCAGAGATGACGCCAGTCTTCTTCTGACTATATGTGCACTGTGGCACCATGTCCATGCAACAATAACAATTATAAAATGCTTTAAAGAAGGGATATTTTTCAGCCAGGTGGTGGTGGCACACGTCTTTAGTCCCCGCACGTGAGAGGCAGAGGCAGGTGGATCTCTATAAGTTCTGAGGCCAGCCTGGTCTACAGACTGAGTTCTAGGACAGTCAGGCTACACAGAGAAACCCTCTCTCGGGGAAGGAAAAAAAAAAAAAAAGAAAGAAAGGATATTTTCATTAGCTCAGGCAACTGTAAGTAGGCATTTGAAATACTGAGGATGATCTATGAGCTTTTTGGCAGCCTTTCTGCAGGAGCTTCTCTTTAGTCCTAAACATTAGTATTGTCTCTGTCCTGCTGCCATGGACTAAGCCCGTAGAATATTTGAACAGGTAACAGGAAAACCAAGTCAGGTCCAGACCTTAAACCTTGCCCTACTTCAGTACTTGTCATGAATTTATATGAGATGAGTCCTCTTGAGATGAAGACCTCTAAAAACTCAGAAGCCCACCCCATGAGTGAAAAGACAGCTTCAACAGAGGCTCTGGAGTCCATTGCTCTGAGGTACTCTGGAGCCTTGGTTGGATGTGACTATTTGGAGCATTCAGGGCAGCTTTGATAAGCACATAGGAGCTGCTTTGGGCACAGGCAGAGCAGTAAAGACAGCCCAAGACCCTGGAGAGAACCGGAGGTTAGATAAGAAAGTCTGGCTGCCAAAGGGCAGGAAGTTGAGAAGAACAGGAAGACATCTTGATTTGTCATCAAGTCCTCAGAACACTGCTGGGTCACTGGGTGAAATGAGGTGAGTGACCAAGAGGCCCCACATCCCGAGAGAGACTCTGAAAAAGGGCTTCAAATGAATCAAGGGGAAAACTGGGAAACAGAAAAGGTTTGTCAACAGCAACATGTAAAGTGACAAAAGACTAGCTAAGGTGCAATCCTATGCAAAGAGTTCTGGATTGTAGTTATGTCTATGCAGTAAATTTGTTATGGACTGAAGAAAGGTCTCCCGGGTAAGAGCACTTGCTGCTCTTTCAGAGAGCCTGATTTCAGTTCCCAGCACCCATGTGGCATACAAAACTATCTTCAACTCCAGTTCCAGGAGATCCAACACTGCATTTAGCCTTCTCAGTACCAGGCACATATGTGGTACTCATACATACATGCAGGCAAAATACCCATACACATCAAATAAAAATAAATCTTGAAAAAATCAAAAGAATTGGTCTTAACTAAAAAAGATGTGAGAGATCTTTAAACCTGATCTCTGAGAGATGCTCATCTGTCGTGTCACAATGGAGTCTTATTAATGCTCAGCACTGCTGCACAGGTAAGCATTCCTGATGGGCAGAACTGTGTCTAGGGAATTTAATTTGGATCTATGTCACTTTAGTAACTATAATTTGGATGCAGTAGCTTCCAAGGATCCCTGGGAGTCCTGGTGAGTTATGGAGCTTGAGAGTGCTTTTCAAAGCCCCAAGCTTGTAGTCAGGTGTCAGAAATGAGGCCATTCTGTGCGGACCTTGTGCCCTGAGCTTAGCGGCACCTTCTCACCAGAACAGACACCCTTCACTGAGGAGTCCCTCACATGCCCATCTCTCTTTTGTCTTGCAGTATTCCACTGGCAGGCCACCATCATGGGCCCGGTAGGTAGTGCTGCTGCATGCTCAGCTCTGGTTTGTTTCTCGTACTTGATGTTCCCTTCAAGCATTGATTTCTTCCTCTGTCTTGCTCTTCCAGAATGACAGTCCTTTCCAAGGAGGTGTTTTCTTCCTGACCATCCACTTCCCGACAGATTATCCTTTCAAGCCCCCAAAGGTGAAGTTGCCCCCAACACCCATAATGTTTTGATAAAGGGCTTATGGTGACCTACTGTGTCACAAGAGCTGTGTGTGTACCTTCTCCCAGTGCTCTGCCATTCCAGATCAATGGTTACAACCTGCTGGGACATTAAACTGCAGATATTCATAATTAGTCCTTGTCTTAAAGTTTCTCTTGCTGTGATAAAATGTCATTTTCCAATCACTGTGGAGAAGAAAGGGTTTATTTCATCTCTGACTCTTAGGTCACACTCCATCACTAGGGCTATCAGGATAGAAACTCAAGCAGGAACCTGGAGACAGGACATGTGCAGAGACTATGAAGGAGTGATGCTTACTGGCCTGGCTTCTCATGGCTTGCTCAGCCTGCTTTCTTATGCAACCCAGAATGGCACCACCCACCATGAGCTGGGTCTTCCGACACTAATCATTGATCAAGAAAATGCCCTACAGCCAAATGGTGATGCATGGTCTTTAATCCCAGCACTCAGGAGCAAAGACAGGCAGATCTCTGAGTTCAAGGCCAGCCTGGTCTACAGAGTGAGTTCCAGGACAGCCAGAGCTACATAGTAACATCCTTTCTTGATAAAAAACAAACAAACAAAAAATTCTTTTTCATCCTAGCCACCCAGACTAAAGCAGCTAAGCAAAGAGTGAGGGAGAACTTTATCTGGCTGTTTCTTATAGTGGCTCTGCTTCCTCATTGTAACCATAATTAGAATTGGTTTTTGCAGATATTGGGCTTTGGGGTTCTTTCTACCACCCTGCTTGTTATTCTTCACAGCACAGTTCATAGGGAAGTTGGCATCGGTCCCCCATGTTCAAAATGAGAATCCAGCAAGAAATGGGTCAGGGTGCTTCTCTTAGTTGTCTGCCTGTGCCCTCTTAGGAGCTGGGGTGCGCTGCTGACACAGCTCAGCAGAAGCTATTTCTTCGCTTGGATTCTTTTCCAGATTTCCTTGTGGCTTATCTGACTTGATGTCTTGTTTTTACAGGTTGCTTTTACTACCAAAATCTATCACCCTAATATCAACAGCAATGGCAGCATCTGCCTGGACATCCTGAGGTCCCAGTGGTCCCCAGCATTGACTGTGTCCAAAGGTAGAAACACTGACATGTACTCAGCATGCCTGTCTCATATACTTTTACCTCTTTGCTGGCTAGTGTACATGGAAGCTCAGGAAGAACAGGCAGACCGCAGAACCCTGCCACCTCATTCTCCACACTGTAAGGAGATGGCATATAAAGCTCAGGACCTATGCCCTAGTAGTTCTCAGCAGCCAGTTGCTATGTGATGCTCAAAATTACCAATTGGGTACAAGAAGACAGTATCAGCTCTACTTGCATTTTTTACCTAAAAGTCAAAAGGCACATATTAAACTTTTTCCTTCCTTCATCCATCCAAGGAGGACATCCATAGATGATAGTGATGTGAGTCATCTCTGAAAGACAGATGCAGGACCTGATCTCAAGAGTCTGTGATGAAACTCCCTTTCCAAAAACAAGTGATAATGAGCATGTTGGTGGATGAGATTAAGAATTCAGTTTAGCCAGGCATGGTGGCGCATGCCTCTAATCCCAGCACTCGAGAGGCAAAGGCAGGCAGGTCTCTTGTGAGTTCTAGCCAGCCTGGTTTACAGGACAGCTAGGACTACACAATGAAATCCTGTCTCAAAAAACAATCAAACAAACAAAAAAATGAAACAATCCCATGTAAACCATGCTATAAAACTATAGGTACTCCTGAACTAAGACAGAAATAGGTACAGGGAGGTGGAATACCAAAAGCCACCCACCCCCCAGATAAGTGGGGCATAAGGCAAAGCAAATGGCAGAGCATCTGGCATTGGGAGAGGCCCCAAACTGGGACATCTGACAAGACAGGCTTTGGAATGCTAGAGAAGGCCTGCAGAAGTAGAAATAGTAAGTCCAGGACAGAGCCACTACCCTCTGTACTGTACAAGATCACAGTAGACTCTTAACAGCCTGACATATCTAGGAAACAGGTCAACATTCTGCCAAATTGACTCTTCTCTGAGGTGTACCTCAGCTGGGCAGCTTTATCCCACCTCCCAAGAAAGCCAGAGGCAGCCATTAGAGTCTGCCAGCCCCCAGGGCCAGTGGCATCTTAGGTAAGCAGTCAAAGAAGAGGGAGGAAGGGAAAGTAGTGGCAAGGACATTTGAGAAAGGGCAGGCAGCACTGAGTGGGGGGGAGGAAGGCCTACAGCCCTCAAGGGGCAGGCTTCCAGAACATTAGAAGAATTGAGTCTCTTCACTAAAGGGGATCCACCCTTCCCATAGGTAGCTTTAACTGTTATTAGGACTTTGAAGCCAGTTTGTTTTGAGTCATGGTAGATTTAGGGAAAAGCACAAATACAGTTGTCAAAGTTTCATCTGCTCTTTAGCAAGCCCTGGTAAATGACTTCTTTGTTCAAGGTCTTTGACACTGTCCCCAACATAGGAGAGCACAGAAGCAGGAAGATGCATTGGCTTTGCAGACCTGGTTCAGAGACTCACTCTAACTTCAGTATTCTGAGTTCCTGTTTTCTTACCAGTAAACAAAGACTTGTAGGGCACTAAAGATGTGTGGTATGGGCACAGACGAGGGTTTTGGAAGAGTGTGAGAGCTGAGACTTCAGGGGCTTCCATGAAGTAGGAAGGTTAAGGCCTGACCACACAGGGGAGGGAGTTGTCCTAAAACACTATGCTAGAACTACACTGTGATGTGCATCATGCTAGTATTTTAACAGCAAATATAATGGCTTGAACAGAATCATTAAACTGGATGTTGAGGGAAACAGAAAGTACAGTTTAGGAGGTTCACTGGACACAAGTAACACACAGGCTCATGGCCTCGGCTGACTGACCCTTTCTTTTCTTCCTAGTTCTCTTATCCATCTGCTCACTGCTCTGCGACCCCAACCCTGATGACCCACTGGTGCCAGAAATAGCCCACACCTACAAGGCCCACAGACAGAAGTATGCGTCCTCTTTGGGTTGGCTTTGTGTGCGGCTGCCCAGGTTCCCACGGACATCTTCCTGCCCAAGCCAAGCCCATGTATGCAGTGGGTGTGCCCTGGGCTTAGCCTCCTGGTTCTTCCTAACACATCCTTTGACTCAGAGGAGGGAGAAAGGATAGAAGCACTTTGCCTTCCTGGATAGCTCACCAACTACCACTGCTGAATCCTAAAATATTGTCAAGCCCTGACCAGAGGACAGCTAAGTCAGTGGTCAGCCAACAAAGGACTCAGAAGAATATGACAAGAAAATTCTGGATTAAATTAGAAGGTTTATGACCAAATAAGGGGGTAATCTGCTTGGACATCCCCAGAATGAGGCTGAAACCAGTCAAGGTGGGCAGTACTGCCAAAGTTAGTTTGCTGGTGAAAGTTAGAAGTCCAAAGTGTGTGGCTGTGTGATCAGCAGACCCAGCCCTCACTACCAGCTGTTTACACACTGGTTTCCAGACCCAGAATTGTAGGACTCCCTCCCTTGGCCAGACATAACCTGATACTGAAGCTTGGCTGCTAAAACACATGCAAGAGTCACTAGCATGTGTCAGTTTCTGAACAGAGTCCAGTGTGGTAGAGCCTAAGCAGCAGATTTACTGATGGCACAGCCCACTGTGTGGCTCTTTTCTTTTTTTCTTTTTAGATTTTTAATTTTATGTGTATGTGTGGTTTGCTTGTATGCATGTCTGTCTGTGTACCATGTGCATATGTAGTACCCAAAGAGGCAAGAGGGCATTGGCTCCCCTGGAACTAGAATTACAGAGGGTTGTGAGCTGCCATGTGGATATTGGGAATTGAACCTGGGTACTCTAGAAAGAGCAGTCAGTGCTCTTTGTTGTTATTTGGTTTGGTTTTGGTTTTTGGAGATAGGGTTTCAATTCCTAGCATCCACATGACAGGTCACAACTGTCTATAACTCCAGTTCCAAAAGATCTGGCGCTCTCACACAGACATTTGGGAAAACATCAACACACATGAAATAAATTAATTTTTAATAATAGCAAAAAGAAAAAGCTGGGCAATGGTGGCACACACCTTTGATCTCAGCACTCTGCAGGTAGTAGCAGGTGGATCTCTTGGGTTCAAGGCCAACCTGGTCTAAAGAGCTAGTTCCAGTACAGCTACGGCTACATAGAGAAACCCTGTCTCGAAAAACAAGCATAAAGAATAGGAAGCATTTTAGTTCATCAGTTACTTTTGTCTGAAGAGATTAGGATAGAAAGTTTTTTTAAGCTTCTTTCAGACTTTATAAACTTGATTTCCTTAATGAAGTTTCCTAGTACCAGTCAAAGTGAGTTTGAACTGACTGGAATGTAAGATTTTTGTTTGTTTGTTTTGGTGGTGGTAGTGTTTGAGACAGGGTCTCACTGAGTAACCCTGTCTGGCCTTGAACTCAAGATCTACCTACTTCTGCCTCTTGAGTGCTGGGATTGTAATGTACCACCGTGCCCACCTAAAGCTGTATTTAGTATTTAGTGTGAGCTGTTTTAGATAGAACAAAATTTTTTCAGTATCCTCTAATTACACATTTTTAATTTACTATTGTGTGTATGCCATCAGTTCTCATTACAATATGAAGCTAAATGCACACACCTACAGAACCTCCACCAGGTACCAGGTGTGGCCCGTGAGCTTTACACAGGCTTGTCTAGTCCTCCCCACAGCCTCACAAAGCAGATGGTGTTTCGTGTTTCATGGTAAACAGTCAAGGGATGTGTTAAGCCATTCACAGAGAGGTGGCCCAGCTACAAAGAGTCACGTGGATTCACAGACTATTCCAGTGTTCTGAGTTTATATGCCAGACAGCCTGGAATATTCCAAGCTGAACTCCTTCCGCATCTTGCATTTATACAGAAGGGCATGGGAGGGAAAAGATGAGGTTTGCATTATTGCATGTGCCACCACAGATAGTTATGGAGGAGCAATAGGAATCACCAAGCTCATGGGTTATACCCATGACTGAAGTGCTTCTCTTCCAAAGAAAGCCTTCATTTCCCTTATCCATCAGTCCCAGATGCCTGACAAGCAGCAAACAGCCTTACCCCCTCATGTTCTCTACTCCACATTTCAAGTGAGGGTGTCGCTCCATCTGCTTTTTTCTTCCAGATACAACAGACTAGCAAGAGAGTGGACACAGAAATATGCTATGTAAGTGCCTCGAAGGCTCCATGGGAGACACTGTCCAAGAGAAGCTTGCCAGGCAGAGTGGCCATCCTGTGAAGCTCTGAGCTATTGGCTAAGGCACTCACAGAACATCCTACGTTCATACATGTGTTGACCACTCACTTTCTCTGGCTGCAGCATGTTGGTGCCACTTTCAGCCATTGTGGCCCTGACAGCTTCCCACCTTTGATGCCAAATCAGCAACCATCGTTATGATCTGCAGTCTTCCTGGTTACTAGAATTGGTCTATGCCCAGCTTGTCTGCTTGTCTCTGGGGAATCAAGCCATGCATGCCTCCCCTACTTGTCCTCAAATGGTGCCACTAGTCACCATGGCACTATACAGGGGCCCAGTCTGCTCCCTAACCACATGCCCTTTGCCTTTAGAACACAGTGCTATCCAGAGGGCCCAGGGCAGAATGGGCTTTCTCCATACTCTTGTCTGCCACAGACCCATGTCCTCAGGAGTCCAAGTGTATCCTGGAGGCTCCTGGAATTGGGACAGCATCACACGAAAGTGCTTCTGCTGCCTTCCGCCACCGTCCTCTGTAGTGCTATATGCTGCATTTCTCTCCTCACACCAAATAGCAAGTGGGGAACATCAGGATCTATAAAGCATGTAACACCCCAAGAAAGAGCGATGACACCATCAGACGTGGAGAGATCGGGAATATAACACAAGAAGAAGAGGGACTTTAAATGCAAATAAAAATGGAATTCCCTGAGAACTGTGAATGACAATTGACACTCTTTTCTCCTTTCAGACAGTATAAACTTGACAGGTTCTCCAGAGATTTGAGTGGGCCTTGAGTGCTTGGCTTCCTCTGTGGGCTCTCTGATGGAGCAAGGTTTGCTTTCAAAAGGTCAGAGCTTTGAGACTGACTACCTAGGAAAAGGCAAGAATGAGTGCATCTGTGTGGGGGAAATGTATTTTCTGAAGACAGTTTTGTTACATAGCCCAAGCTGGCCTTGAATTCTGGTTACTTCTGTCTCAGTCTTCTGAAAGTTGTGCTTACTAGCATGTGCCACCACATCTGGCTAGGAAAGGAAGTTCTAGAAAGGACTGCAAAGGAGAAGGAGAGCTGAGGAGTTTCTCTATAGGGCTCTTTGTATTTTTGTTGAGCTTTCACAAAATAATCCAGACTGGCCTAAAACTAGAGATCCATTTCCCTGAGAGACAACAGGTATATCCATGACACCTAGCCTTAACTTAGTCTTCTGAATTTGTTATAAAGCTAGTCTGTTCCCAGGGATTAATGATTGGTGAACCAGAACAGGGAGAGGAGAGAAAAACTGCAACCCAAAGACCGGGTGAGGCCTATGAGGGCAAGGAGGAAGACATATACTGATCTAACATTTGAGAATCAACCAAATGAGATTGGTTTGCTCTGAAAACAAGTAGCCAGGTATGGCTGTGCACTTCTGTAATCCCAACATGCAGGGGCAGTGGAAGAAAGATATTCAAGACCAGCTTTGGCCACATAAGACTGTCTAAGAGAATATGATTCTGAGCCCATCCACACCACTTTGGCTAAGTCCTGAATTTGCCCTCATTTAGGATCTCATTACAGTCTTTAGGGCTCTTGTTCCTCACCCTATTGAGAATTGCTTTTTAAATTTCTGGGGTTTTTTTGGGGGGGCGGTGTTTTTTGTTTTTTTGAGACAGAGTTTCTCTGTGTAGTTTTGGAGCCTATCGTGGCACTCGCTCTGGAGACCGAACTCACAGAGATCTGCCTGCCTCTGCCTCCCAAGTGCTGGGATTAAAGGTGTGCGCCACCAACGCCCGGCTTAAATTTCTGTTTGTTAAATATTAGGGGAACAAATGTTCCTACTAAAGGGTCCTGCAGGACTGTTATCACATTTTCTCCTAAGCTGCAACACTATGTGCTATATGAAGTTGTTCATTTCAGCAGAACACAGCATTTTGTAGATGATAACACAGTCAGGAAAGGGACATAGTTTCACATCAAAGGCAGGCTGACAGGAAAGTCCTGTCCCAACATGGTGTTAAGGCTATGAGCATGTATATTTTAGTCTTTCAAGCTTAGTAGTTTATAACTCCAAGCAAACATCCCTTTTTCTAGGTCTGGAGTATCCGCAAGCCAGTCCTCTGCTGGAGAATGAGTAGTAAGTAGAAAAAGTAAAAATAGCCCTTTGATGTTCCCAGTGCAAATTGCTAATGGATTGCAAGCCTAAAATGAGCTTCATACCTGCCAGACTACTTGGACAGTCTTGTACTTGGGCAAATCCCTTGGATACTCTGCCATTGAGAAGGGGGCCCACCTATTTGTCATGCTCCCAGGGCTCTGGTCAACCTGGGGAACAGGCTCTTGGGTCAAAGGCCTTATTTTGATGACCATGGTGTGGTTGGTCCTGTGTCATATCTGTGAACACTATACTTTTATCCCCACTCCCCCACCCCCCGACAGGATTGCTCTTTGTAACAGTCCTGGCTGTCCTGAAATTCACTCTCTAGACCAGACTGCCTGCCTCTGCCTCCGGAGTACTGGGATCAAAGGTGTGCACTACCACCACCCAGCTTCTTCTAAATGCAGTCCTAGATCAGTAACTGAACAGCAGATCTGTAAAGTCAACTGTAATGTGATCTCCCCCTGGCCCAGTGGACCATAGAGGTCAGACAGATGCATGGTTTAAGTCAGTGGTTCTCAACTTGTGGGTAGAGACCCCTTTGGGGGTCACATATCAGATATTTACATTACCGTTCATAGTAGCAAAATTACAGTTATGAAGTAACAACAAAATAATTTCATGGTTGGGGCTCACCACAACATGAGGATCTATATTAAAGGGCTGCAGCATTAGGAAGTTTGGGAACCACTGGTTTAAGTGATCTGTGAAGAATAGATGACTATTGGGGCTGAGGGGCTGGCTCTGTGTGAAAGAGCACTTTTTCACAAACTTGAAGACCTGTGCTCAAACATCCAGTACCTGCTTAAAAAGCTGGGTTTGGCTCTTTATAAACAGTACTATGGGGAGGCAGAGACAGGAAGACCACTCATGACTTACTGGCCACCAGCTTGGCTTCAAGTTCAGTGAGAGACCCACTTCTACGGCATAAGGTGGAGAATGAAAGAACAGGACACTTGACATTGTCTTCTGGCCTCCACAAAGCACACAAGTATTCATGCATTCCCCGCCCCCCAACCATTTGCATGTACCACACACACAAGGTATGTTACCTCTCTTGGAAGATTTGGGTTTTGTTTGTTTTTGAGACAGGGTCTCACCTGTAGTCAGGATCTCACCGTGTAGACCTGGTTGGCCTCAAACTCATAGAGATCTACCTGCCACTTGCCTCCCGGGATTAAAGTCATGTGCCATCATGCCCATCTTACTTTTATGTATTTGTGTGATAGTTTAAGTGCACCATGTCCATGCCTGGTGTCAGCAGAGATCAGAAGAGGGCATTGGGTACCTTAGGATTGGAGTTACCTTGGTTCCTGGAAAAGCAACCAGTGCTCCTAACTACCAAGCTATTGCAGCAGCAGCAGCAGCAGCAGCAGCAGCACTAGCATCACCACCAACACCACTTATTTTTTATTTTTATTTTTTTTTATTTTTTGTCCTTGAGACAGGGTCTCTCTGCATAGCTCTGACTATCCTGGAACTCGCTATGGTGGCTTGCCTCTGCCTCCCCAGTGCTGGGGTTAAAGGCATGTACCACTACACCTGGCTTTCCAGCCCCGTTCTTTCATCATTTTAAATGTAACTTTTAGTATCATTTCTCTTGCTGTAATAAAGTACCTGACAAAAAGCAATTTATAGAAGAAAAGGTTTATTTTATTTTACAGTCACTGATTGTGGTTCATCATATGGAAGTTCAGACAACTGTTTTTGAAGTAGATAGAGGTGAAGCGCAAAGTAGGTTCTCTTCATTATCGAGCCTTTTTTTTTTTTTTTTTAAGATCTAGATGATGCCCAGGACGACCAGAACTCAAGCTTCTGCCTGTCTCCTGACACAGGTGCGCGCCACCACGCAGGATACCACAGATTAAATTTTATCTTTTCTTTTTTCTCCAGTCAGGGTTTCTCGGTGTACACCAGGCTGTTCTGGAACTTGCTCCGTACATACACCACGCTAGCTTTAATTTAAGAGATCCGCCTGCCTCTGCTTCCCGAGTTCTGGGATTAAAGGAGTGCGCCACCGCGCCCAGACGGGAGCACACGTCTGGAGAGAGATTTGGGCATCTAAGCTTGCTCTCAAACAAAATAACTAATACAAGAATGGGAAAAGAACGAGCGAGGTGCTCTGACTCCAGGCCATGCCCTGGGGATTTTTGTGGACGAGGACACAAGACCCCGCCGCCTCTTTCGGGATTCTAATTCACCAACACCTCGATTTTACCCGCAAACTAGCTCTCATAGTCTCTATTTCTACTTCCGGCCTCATGGGCGCGGTTTCGGCACCTCGGAGGCGAGGCTTCCGGCCTCTGGGGCGGAGCTTCCGGTCGCCAGTGGAGGCCGGTGGAAAGCTGAGGCTGTAGCATAGCTGGGACTGTGGGGCGTGCCATGGCGGTGAACCTGAGCCGGAACGGGCCGGCGCTGCAGGAGGCCTACGTTCGCGTGGTCACCGAGAAATCCCCGACCGACTGGTAAGCAGCGAGGCGGGTCCAGGGAGGCGCGGGAGCTGGAAGGTGGGGGCGCGGCGTGGCCGTGGTGTTGCTGGATCACCTGCCCCCTTCCCTGCCCTAAAGAGGTGCTACCCCGCCCTCGCCACCGCTGTCCCCCAGCGGGACCCAGCGAGTTCCCCCAGTCCTTCCCCCCACCGCTTAGTGGTCGGTTCTGCCCTAGGGGTCTCCTGAAGGTTTCTGCCTGGTTTTGATTGCTGTCCGTCTAGGACTTTGCTGGACAAAAGGGTCCCGCGCAGCTCCCTAACTCCTTAGAAGGCGGAAGCCGCGCCCTCGTCTTTTAAACCCTGATTCAGGAATAGACCTTGAAAGCGGTGTGACGGTGGGGTTGAGGTCATGAGCTCACACTGAAGGTGCAGCCAGGGATGTCAGCGGTCTGGGTCCCTGGTACTCTTGTATCACATTTCTGAATTATAGGAAGGGGACTGAAAACGGGATGCTGTCAACCTGTTTGAGAAAGGCTCCATCTTTCCCCCACCACCCCAGGACATCCTCTGCTAGGCTGTCAGTGTTTAGGTTTCGTCCTGCAATTTATTCGGGCTTTACAGTACTGTGATCTAGGATCTGGAGTTTCAGTAGTGACCCTGCTGAGCCCCTCCCCCTTCGGCTTTCTGCATACCTATATATAGTAATTCTCTTTCACTTTCCTATCTGCTTACATCGTTTCCATTAGCCAGTTTTTAGCGCTTATATTTCTGAGAAATACGTTGTATGGCAGGTTAAGGTGAACAAATACTGGAGAGTACAAATTGCACCTGGTGAGATCGCCACTGCCCTGTGGTCAGCACTGAGGGGCATCATACTGAGTCTGCCCATGTTGAGTCTTCCATGGAGACTTCCCTATTGCATGGTCCTGTGATCGCTCCTTTTCTGCCCCTTTGCATTCTCAATCTTCTGCCCTTCAGTTTTCACAAGAACCATTTCTGGGAGTGATACCCCACAGACTAGCTAGCAGTGTCCTTCTCCCATGCTTCCTTGAGCTAGCTATATGCTTGCTTTTGAGACAGAGCCTCACTCTGT